ACATTTTTAAAGAAATTGTTTTCTCTTAGAGATGAAAAAAAATTAGTTCAGTTTTTTCAGTGTTGAGACATATTAGGTTAGCATTTAACCAGTGAACTATACCTTTTAGATCCAAATTACCATTTTTACATAAAGAATAATACGATTTGTTGATGTGCAAGAGATTTGTATCATCAGCAAAGAGATGGAATGAAGAGAAGTGAACAGAGTTGATTAGGTCATTAACATAGATTAAAAACAAAAGAGGACATAGAACAGAACCTTGAGGAACACCACACAAAACTGATTTATAACTAGAATCGAAACCATTAATACTTACAAATTGTTTTTGATCTAAAAGATAAGATCGAAACCAGTCATTTACAATACCGCGAATTCCATAAGGGATCGTCCATAAATTACGTCACAAATTTTTTGACAGATTTTGACCTCCCCCTTTCCCCCTCGTCACAAAATTGTAACACTTAAGAAGCAAGTTTTGTATGAGTTGTCACAAAACTACCAACCCCCCCTCCACCTTATAGCGTGACGTAATTTATGAACGACCCCTAATGTTTTAATTTGGAAATCAAAATACTATGGTCAACGGTATCGAAAGCTTTTTGTAAATCGATAAAAACACCACAAACAAAATGACCAGTATCAAGAGCTTTCCTAATTTTTTCCGTTATACTTATTAATGCATGGCAAGTAGAATGTTTTGATCGAAAACCAAATTGAAAATCATTTAAACAATTAAATGAGTTTAGAAAAGAGTACACTCTAGAATACATCAGTTTCTCAAGAAGCTTACTAATGTTAGAAAAAAGAGAAATAGGTCTGTAGTTAGTGCATGAAAGTTTAGAGCCATTTTTAAATATTGAAATAACACAAGATAATTTCAAAATATCAGGAAATTTTCCATTTATAAATGAGGTATTAATTAGTTTAGAAAGAATATTTTAAAAATGGTAGTTAAAATCTATAAGAATAATTGTGGAAATGCTGTTTGGACCTAATGATGTTTTTGGATTCAATTTAGATATAAGAGATGAAATTTCAGAAATATTTGTTGGAGATAATAATAAACTATGTAAATTTGGATGTTTAAGATATTTATGATAGTTAATGTAAGATGAATGAATATTGGATTTGAGTTTATGAGCAACATTTGAAAAAAAAGTGTTAAATGATTCAGAGATTAAAGTCGGGTCAGTTATATATGTATCATTTTCTTGCAAACAGTTGGGAGATACATTTATTAGAGTGTTAATACCTTTCCAAAGTTCGCGAAATTTTTTTACATTTTCAGATTTTTTAAATTTTTTACAGCCATCTAAAATTGTTTAACAACTATTTCTAAAACATGATGTCTGCATGCATCATCAATATCTTCCCAATATCTTTTCTTATCCTGAATGATTTATAAATATAAATAGTTCACATTTCTTTATAATTAACTTCAAATTTGATCTGCAACATCAAACTCTGTCAGAATGCTCTTGATAGCAATGAACTGATTAAGCCCTATTCCAGATGTAACTCTTGGAGCTCTAAGCAGATGATTAATCACCTTATATAGCTGTTCTCATGGTTTCCTTAATACCCTTTTTAGTAAGAGTAATGGTCTGTCCATAATATCTGTTTCCTAAATTATGTGCATACATATTCTCTCTATCAGAATCTGAACTTGATTCCAAAAACAAAATTCCAAGTAAATTTTCAGCAACTCTGGATGTACTAGGCTCAACTAAAATGCTTGCAGTTTGTGCATAAGTTCTCTTAACATAAGTTCCCTTCTTTTCACCTCCTTTTAATTTTTAATCTTTGGTTATCAATGTGTCTCAGAGTTATTTTTTTTTCTCCTAGCTGATCTTTAAGAAAAAGTAAACTCTCCAATTTGTCAGATGGAATCCTGTTCTTGTCTGTTTTAATAGCTTTGATTAGACTTTTTTTGAATCACTTAACCAAAACAACCCTAGAAATATATATTCCTTTGAAACCTCTGAACTATAAATTATTACATTAATAAAAGTTTATTTAAATATTATTTAACCTCTTACAGTCCTAACAAACTCAGCACGAGATTGAATATATCCTTTTTGAATTTTATGACGACTCTTCTTAAGGTTCAAATATCTATTAATATATTTAAATAGATTTCTTTGCAGAGTAACTGGTTCAATCATTTGGAGACCGGATCTTAGCCATGAAAACCATAATTCCCCAAGAATACATTTCTTGCTACATGCAATAACTGCAGTGGTACACTGACACTATGACAAATAAATTATTTGTAATTACTAAAGAATTTAGTTGGTATTTTTTTTTCAAAAAAGAAAAACTTAAACTGTTAAAAGCATAGTTTATTAATTACGAACAGCTAGTAAAATTTTATAAAATAATGTAAAGTATTGTCTAAGGTAAAATGTATAAAGTAACCTGAAACTGTTACTTAAAGGGCAAGCAACAAGTCTCTTTTTTTTTCTGAATTGGAACCAATCTTTTCCTTCAAGTAGAGGAAACGCTTAATAATATCAGCCCGGGTTGGAAGTTGAACTGAAGGCATCTTTGCTGGTTTACCGACTAAGTAATACTCCTTTCCACAACTACTCTCTCTTCTCTTTATATTTTGTTTTTGACCTTCAGCATTTTTTATAAGGATTCCCTCTGTATTCTGGGTTCATACCTTTAGTTATAAAATTATACTAAACTAAGGAATTGAATATTTGAATTAACTCATGAAGGTTTTGATAAAAAAAGATAAACAGTTCATGACTTACCAGCTGCATTTACGAAAGTTAAGAAAAAAACATTAAGAAAAAAAGATTAAAAACAATTGAATAAAACATGCATAAAAAACTTAAGTACAAATGTACTTATAGGTGCAGATTTGTAAGAATACTATTCACGCTTCTTAAACAACACAGTATTTAGATTATTTTCATAATATTTGCGAATCTTGTACTTGTACTCAAAAAAAGCTTGTGAGCAAAAGTGTTATTTATATAGCATCATAAAATGGTTAGTTGCCTTTAAGAAAAAATTGAGTTCTTATCTCTATTGGATCAAGGTGATCCAATAGAGATAAGAACTCAATTTTTTCCACACGTCATGTAGACATGGTTAACTATAAAATATGTTGTATACATTTCTGTAGCACAATCAGGTCTTCAGATATTTATATATATAGGCCTCGGCAGGAGTAAAAATCGCACAGGCTATGAAATGCCCGTCTTAAATAAACTTAACGGGCTAGGAGGGCTGCCCGTCTTGATGATCTCGCGTGGAAAAGTTGATCTCGATGATCAACTTTTCCTTAAATTTTTTTTTTTTTGGTTTTGATGATTTTTTTTTTAAGTAGTTAACTATTTTGTTGTTATTAATAATAATTATATATTCTTTTTGTTTTGTTGTTGTTAATAATAATTATATATATTTTTTTAAGTAGTTAACTATTTTGTTGTTATTAATAATTATATATATATTTTTATAGAAAAGTGCGTAGATAAAATGACTGATATAGTCGTAGTCATAGTGTAAATTTAATTAACTGATAGTAAGTAAGTAGGTATATATATATATATATATATATATATATATATATATATATATATATATATATATATATATATGTATGTATATATATGTATGTATAGTATATTATATGTATAGTATGTATATATATATATATATATGTGCACAGTATATAGGTATCTGGAGTGTACATGCTTTTTTTTGCGCTACAATAATTCCATATAAAGTTGTACAAATTAACAGCAAATTAACAGACAAATTAACTTTGAAGATATTTAATTTTTGATAAAAATATAACTTGATAACAACTAAAAAATTAAATTTAAAATATCCAATTTAAGTTAAATTGGAATAGCCGCAGTGAAGTGTACATATATTAATTGAGGGTTAATATTTAGATAAGCACTCCAATTTTGAAACTTTTTAATTTCAAACTTAGGTTTTTTAAAATTTGACAATAAAAAAAAAATGTAGCATCTCATTGATCAATTGAATACCCCTCTCCCTTGCAACAAATCATCCCAAAATCACTAATCCTCCGTTCCCCCTTTCTACCACATGAAATAATTTGTGGGCAACCCCTAACTCCACTTGAAACATTAGTAAAAACTCTTAAGAAACAAAGTTATAAAAAAGACTTTATTTTTTATCAAATAAAAAAATAAATCATACTTTTTAAGACATCCAAAAAAAAAAACCTAAAAAGTACAAAATTTACAAAAAAAAAGTACAAAATATGCAAAAAAAAAACTATTCTATTACAGTAATGTAAGTTATTTTCCACCTCTGCTCTAAATGTAAATCGTGACAAGATATATTTTATGAAAAAATTGATAGTTAAACTATTAAAGGCATGACATTTCATATCAAATCTCTCGTTTTACCATATTACCACAATCCAATTTATTAAAAAATACTAAACTATTTTAATCAAGAAAACATAAAAAAAGTGAGAAAATTTTTGAGCAAAAATAAAATTTTCTATAAAAAGCATTTTTTTTTTGGGTGCATAGCAAGAATTAATAATATTTCTGCCTACTTCATGATAGATGTAAACTAACTTGCCGCAAACTAAAGAATATTTATTAATTATACATCATAATATATTACCTACTTTTCTACAGCTTTTTTAATCAAATATAGTTAATGTTTTATGATACTTGCTAGTTATTTAGTGTTTCCAAATTAGAAAACCAAAATAAGATAACTTCTTATTGATAAATTGTTTTTTTAAAAAGAAACAAAGATTACATTTCACTTATATGAGCTTTTGTTTTTGGGTTGAAAAATAAAAAAAAAAAGACAGACAATGTTTTTTACTTATCTAAAACATTTTCTGTAATAATATGCACAAGGAGCATCGAACTCTCTAGTAGCCAAAAATAAAACTAAAAAGGTATAATTGTAGCTCTCATTTGTTATTCAGTGGTCTTAAAAAAACAAAATCAAAATATGTCAACCTCAATATAAGCTAAAAAAATTACCTCAAAAGCTCCATAATTTGGTGCTGGCATAAACTCTAAATAATTTTTAGTTGGTTTATATCTTTTAGTTTCTTCTTCAATTAACTCATTTACCTAATCAAAATTTTTAAATATAAAAATATTCAAAATAAACAAAATCTTCATATAAAACCAACACTTTAATAACATTACTGATATGCCTTATTTACTAGTTATCATCATTAAATATTATTTACTATTAAATATTATTTACTAGTTATTATCATTAAATATTATTTAATAGTCTAATTTAATTGTTAAATATTTTTTTACTAGTCTATTTGTGCATTGATTCCTGTGTACGATGATAAGAACAAGATCTTTTTGTCTTAATTCATGGTTTCTAGCTTGCAGCTTTTTAAATATGACTATGAAACTCCTTCTGCAGGGTTCAATTTAACGGTTGGACATTGCCGCCCCTCAGACCATTTTTGAGACCTGCTAGAGGAGGGCAACAAACCATTGTTGATTTTTTCATTAAAAATGAACAATGGATGATCGCCCCCATTATTCAGGTCTCAAAACATTCCGAGGGGTGGTGATGTCCGACCGTTAAATTGAGCCCTGCTTCTGTTATCAATTAATTGGGGTACAGTTTTAAAAATCCATTTTTTGGTTTTAAGGATTACTGATAGTAAGATTTCATAACATGTGACCGTTTTTTAATCTTCCCCTTCCTAATGCATTAAAACTTTGAAAATGGCTTGCCAAATTGTGTTTATTACTAAAAAGTCTAGTAAACCTTTATCTCTATTGGGGTTAGATTTGAACATTTTGAAATAAATTCTTTTAAAATATTGAAGCACTTAACATAGTCAGACCAGCTTCAGAAAATAATGTCATAATTAAAATAACCCATTAACAACATTCAAAATGTGCTGACTTCATGTAAAATATCTCTTAGTAAACTATCATATTTGTTAACAAATATATCCATATAGGTAGTTTTGCAGCCAATTCCAATCAGTAGATTGTACTTTTGTAAACCAATTATAATATGCCATATATGTTTAGAGTAGTATGACATCAGCTGATCTGCAACAACTAGCTTTGATATAGAGTAACGCACCTCCTTCACATTATTTCACTGGTCTATTGCATCTGAAAAGTATGTAATCAGTTTCTGCAACTCAACTTTCAGTTACCCAACCCAAATAACATCAAAAAAGATGCTTGGAATTTGCTTATTTTACTTATCTTTTATTCTTTGTTGCTTATTTATTTTTTTAAACATCTTAACTTATAACAAGGCTGCAAGCAACCACTATAAGAGTTGGAAGTTGGCTTCAAGAGCAGGTCCAACTATGTTTACCATGTGCTTTTGCATCTTGTCTAAAAGAAAAATATATGGTTTATATATGGTTTTCGAGAAAGATAAGAAGTAAGAGTTAATCCTAGAAGATGAAGAGATGACTTATTGAGTACATTACCGTTAGTGAATATAAGAAGATCTAGATTGCATGATAAACATAAGACATGGTTGTCTTATGTTTATTATGCTAAAAAAAAAAAAAAATTAAAAAAGAGTGCAGATTTAAATGCTAATGTTTTCAATTAGATTGGACTATTTGATAAATATAAAATTAATACACTCTAAATTATATTAACAAAATATAAAAATATTTAACTGATAAAAAATATAATGATTACACTCAAAATTATTGTTTAATAATTTTTATTTTATGTAATGAATTATATATTTTATTATTCACTTTTACTGTGGAATTTTTAATTTTTGTAATAATTCTTAACTTAAAACAACTTAAATTGCCTGTATTCTATTATAACAAGAAAATATAAAAAAAATTTTATAAGCAGTGAACTTTTAAAGCTTTTTGTCAAATTTTTTATCAAACAAGTAATGTTGTTAATAAATAAATGGATAGCTAGTATGAAAACTAATAGACAATGCTTGTCTAAAGAATTTTTTCACTGCGCAATAAATAACATTTGTTATGTATATATTCTTGTAACATTAACGTTACTAACATATGCTTGTAACAAGTATAAAACCGAATATTGTATTTAATATATATGTATATATATATATATATATATATATATATATATATATATATATATATATATATATATATATATATATATAAATATATATATATATATATATATACATATACATATATATATATTATCAGGCCTTGCGATAAAGCGTCGGGCGATGCGAATTTTACGTCGTCCAAGGGCGATTTTGCGTGTAGCTAGGGCTATTTGCGTCGAGCAAAAAAATTTTTGTTTGAGTATATTTAAAGATATTTTTGAGCGGAATTTTAATGAAGTAATTTACGATTATTTTAACATTTAATAAAGTATTTTAAAAACCGCACGCAGTTGAAATAAAAGTTTGAATTTAAAAAAATTAAATATGCTCATTATTTACAAGTAGAAAAAATTCAAAAATTAAAAAAAAAGTTTAAATCTTTTAAGCTAACATTTTAATAAAATTATTCAGCAATAGCAACGTTGTCGATAAAATTGAACAAAAATACTTTCTTTTAGTTTTAGATTTTAAACTTAAATAATTATTTTACAGGGGTTTGATAGGTTTTAAAATTATTCCATAGATTTAAAAATATTTATTAACTGTTAGACGTATTTAAAGTATTTAAGAGTGATTTCGAGGAAACATTTTAAAAATTGGTGAGGGCAAATAAAAAAAAAAAAAAAATTAATATCAAAACGTATTCTACTTGATTTTATGTTAAAAGTTACCGAAACTCATCGAAGCGTGCTCAAGAACAGCTGCTGAAAAATAGAACGTCAATAGTTTTTCGAATAATTTTTAAGAATAATTTTTTCGCTGAAATATTTCTTTTATACCTATAAGATTTTTATTCTAACATTTTATTTTATTTTAATAGAAATAAAATTCCTTGTTAACATTAAAAATCTATTCAAAACGTTCGTTTAAGTTTTTTATTAATACGAGTGATTGTGCTTATCAACCGCTTTATGAAAATAAATAAAAATAAATAAATATTATATAAAATCGCTTGTAAAAATATTAGCTATTGCACAGTTTTTAATCGTACAATATTAAAATTTCCAGTTTATTACTCGCTGACTTTTTAAAAAGAAAAAATAATTATTTGAAAAACTTTAAATTACATATTTAAGAAAAAAAAAATCAAATATTAGCATATTTTATAATCTTTTTTAAATTTAAGTTATAATGTTTTTTATTCGTTTAGTATAGACAAAACGTGACAAACGTCGAGAAAATAAACAAATGTTTTTACATTTTAAAAAACGAAACATTCCAAAACATTTTTAAATAATAACATTTCTACATAAACGATTTAAAGTAGTTTTGCGGTAATTAAATAAATTGGTGCAGTTAATGTCGATAAATATGAAAAGCAAATAAAAAGAATTTAATGACGTCAAAAATCACGTCGTGCTTATGCGTCGCGCAGTTCTTATTCATCGCAAGGCCTGATATATATATATATATATATATATATATATATATATATATATATATATATATATATATATATGTATGTATGTATGTATACATATACATATAAATATGTATATATATATATATATATATATATATATATATATATATATATATATACAGGCGCGGATGCAGCATTTTTTGATGTTTGATATGCCTAACTTCCAGACATGGAGCAAACTTTAAAAATTTATGTGTTTACATCTATATCAAATAAGGATGCTTTACAAAAAATTGCAATGATTGGAGCCTGGGAACAAAAAAACCCTAATATTTTAGCTACACCTGCCCCAAACGTGAGAACAACAAGTTGATAAAATAATTTTTAAACTATTCTTAACTAAATCTATATTCATCGATAAATTTTAAAATTCAAACAAAAATCTCTTAGCGTTCAAAAACTATGATCATAAAAAGTTTGAGCCCCCCTCAATTTGAGGGGGTTGCAAATTTTAAAAGGCTATAATTGTTAAGCGCTAAGAGATTATTGTGTAAGTTTTAAAATTTATCGATGAATATAAACTTGGTTATGAATAGTAAAAAAAATATTTCATCAACTTGTTGCTCTCACGATTGGGGCAGGTGTAGCTAAAATTTTAGGGCTTTTTTGTTCCCAGGCTCAAATAATTGCAATTTTTTGCAAGACATCCTTATTTGGTATAAGTATAAAAATATAAAGTTTTGGAATTTGTTCCATGTCTGGAAGTTAGGTATCTCAAACATTAAAAAATGCTGCATCCGCGCCTGATATATATATATATGTCTTCTCTGTTTAGCCAGCACTTTCGTGCTTAAGTATTATAGAAAATTGTATTTTTTACCAGTTTTTTAAATAATTATATCTAGTATTTATTCAAAGCATTCTTTTAGCTATTTTTATTTTGACTTGAATAGCAGAAAAAAATAATTCTTTTAAATCGTGCAAGCTAAATTAAAAATGACCATCCTGTCAGTGCTTTTCCATGCTCCGGCATTAAATTTCAAACGGAGAAAACTGATATATATATATATATATATATATATATATATATATATATACATATAAAAATGCACATATAATCATTAGATACACAAAGGTAAAGTCATAAAAACACAGGAAAACGTGGCAGCTTCAGTACATATGTTGACTATCTTATAGCCTGCTGTCGCAAAGGAATGCTGCTACATCGACTGAGGGTTTGGCATTGCGGCAACAATCTTTTCTTCCATTATTCTTTATTTTTTCTTCTTTTTTTCTTTAAAATTAAAGCACAAATTTTTACATAAGGAGCACAAAAATGGTATAAGGAAATTGTGCCCTTAGATATGAATTGAGTATAGTATAGTATAGTGTGTATATATATATATATATATATATATATATATATATATATATATATATATATATATATATATATATATATATATATATATATATATATATATATATATATATATATATATATATATATATATATATATACAAAATACTGCTAATAATTTGCCATTTCTTTTCATACAAATTTATCAATTTTAATTTTTTTTTATTACAACTATCTTTTTTTTTTAAATTAAAAAAAATTCAACTTACCATTTCTCTAATTCCAGGTTCATCATAACCTTGGTCAACATATGGCAAAGCATCAGGAACAACCTCATGACTCATATGAGCATGAGTCGCCATTTGTTAGTAATATAGCTAATAGACTAAAATAAAAATACTTTTACATTTTTTTTAAAGAAATTATAATATACTTTCGCTAATAATTATCACTAAACATTAATATTATTATTATAAACATATTTCAGACAACAGGCATATACAATATATATGCCATATTTATTATAAGAAAAATATTATTTTAAAATTTGATTAAGTGAATGCATTGAATTATTCACTAATGTACAAGCCATCAATTGATTACGAAAAACATGTCTGTAGTTTAAGATAATTGTATAAAAAGATCTCTGCTCTAAAAACATGAGAGATATAATATCATACTTGTTGTAATGAAAAATATTTTAGTACATTTGTTGTATGAATACTGAAGGCATGCCATTGTTTTATTACTGTAATTTTGCCACAGAGGAGCACCTTATAAACAAATGCAATATGATTAAAACAATTCAACATTTACTCTGGTGGAGCATAATTGAAAGCATTTAATTAAAATATTGCTATGTGTGTAAAGAGCCTTCACCTAAAGATTTAATAAAACCAATTTTACAGCATGTTACGATTAATTCTGGGAAGGAGTTTGATATAATTTTTTATTATTGAGTTAATTAAGCACCATACATTCAGTTTTCTTGGTATTAAAGGAAACTTAATACATATTAATTAAAAAAAGGTTCCTTATTTGTAAAGCTAATTAGTTTTTAAAGAGAAAACCAAAAAGGTGCAATTAAAACCATATCATCAGCGTAAGCCAACATTTTCATGAAGATGCCACCTATATTACACCCAATACCTAGGTTTGAGAATAATAAAATTGAATAAAATTGTGTATGTAAAAGTTAAATAGAAGTGGTGACAATACCTTGACAAACCCTATTTCGTGGGGTTTGTCATAATCGTGGCCTCACAAAATGTAGATGGTAAATAACTATATTTAATACATAAATTTAAAAAAATACTAATAAAAAGCTGCAGTCTACTTCCACTGTACATAAAAGATTCCATACACAGGTCATCAGGTCCAGCAGCTTTTCCTAGTTTCTGAGTTTTTATTGTAGTAGATATGTCAATGCAACTCACAATAATATCAGAATTTTCTGTGGAAAGTTTCATTTCCTTTATGAAGTTGAGGTAATATTTTTCACTGTTATTTTACAATTATATTAACACCAATACTATAAATTATAAATGTAAATTGATATTACTAAAACATATTGACAACAACATTCAAAATTTTTTGTTTAAAATCTTCTTTAATTATGGAATTATATCAACATATTTGCCTTTAAAAAACGCAATAACTAAAGTAATAAAACAGTTAGCACAATGCAGTATTCAAAAAATTAACTAGAAGTTTTCAAATAATATGATAAGTTTTGTTTCATTTTTTAGCAGGCAAACATATATAAGTTTACTTAGATAGGGAGTTTAATATTAAACTCCGTTTCTAAGTAAACTTAAAAGTGTTTGCCTCCAAAAAAATGAAACAATAATATGATAAAATGTTTATTTTTTGTCATTTCTAATTTATAGATGAAAAAGTCTGATCACTTTTCTCAGATTTCTCTTAAAATGTTTTTAGTAAATTAATAATAGTTAGCTCTTTTTTTTTTTAGCTAAATATCAAAATTTATTGAAAAGTTTTAAATAAAATAGAGTTAACAAATTCCATCATATTATGATAGAATTTGTTTACTCTATTTTATTTACAGTTATGATGATCATAACTGTAACAAATGAACTTGATGACGGAAGTTACTAACATAACTTAAAAATAATAATAAAATTATATTATTACAGAGTATCCAACTAAAGTTTTTAGTTTGAGACATTTAGGGTCAGTAAAAAAAGAATTTTAGAATAAATTAACTACAGTGGTCAATCAAATAATTACTTAATCTACCTTTTAAGAAACCCTAGAATATTGTGACAAAATTTGGATAGGTATTGACAGTTAGATAATAATGACAATGGATAGTGGCAACTAATTTTATATGGGACCCAGCGCGTATTCAATGGTCATGTGGGTGACCATTTCACAAAGTAAATATAATTAATGATATTTTGGTTTAGTTTTTAGGGCCAACCAACGAAACCAAAAAGTCGCACGACTATTGTAATCTTACGTCGTGCGACTTTTTACCATAGTCGCGCGACAAATGACACAAAATAAAAAAAAATTCTGCGACTTGAACAACAGAGTGTCTTTTATTAATGCAATGTTCTGATTACAGAAATAACTTAGAAATGTCTATAGAATGTCCATAAGAGAATTAATCCAGTCTGAAAATTTTGTTCTGCTATGTAATATTTCAATAAAAAAGCTTTGGTCAGAAAGTTAATGCTTTTTTCGTCGAGTAAGCTAGACACTGTATTGATGCTTTTTTGCAGAAGTGTGAAAGTGTTTACTAGTTCTTGATTTTCTTTATTGTGCAGAACTGTTGTCTCTCTGCAGAAATCAACAAAAGTCACCCATCATAGCTAGACTACATTTCTCTCAATATCGATGTTTCGTCACTGAAATATCTTGGTGCTCGTCGCTTACGTCACCTAAATCGTCAGAAAAAAAGTCAATATGAGAATGCAGGAAATGTATCTTAAACGATACATTTGATCCAATGGTCTCGTAGTTTGTTATAAGAATCTAAATCAGTTTTTTTTAGTGGTCCAATTTTCAAATCAAGAAACCGTTCAACAACGGCCTTGAATGAGTTCCTTGCTGTTCCTTTGTCAGCAAATTCTGATATTATTATCAACCAAAATGTTGCTGTGAGAACAAATTCAGAACCATCTAAAGTGAAAAACTGCATAAATAGCTATAAAGCTGAATGACAAATAACAACATGACAATTTGTCACAATCTTAATATAAAATGTCACATCTTAATATAAAATGGAACAAGAACAAAAAATAGATTTATCAAGGAACCTAGGGAAGAGAGTTTTATTCAGGAAGTATAGTTTTATACAGGAAGGTCTTCTTCATAAGCTTGTTTCATATGATGTATCTGGGAAAGTTTTTTAAATTATCAAATTGTTTCTTTGTATCCGCTTTATTAAAGATTTCTTCGAAAGTCATCACTCTTATTTCTTTCCTGTAACTTCTAGGGTACCTCAAGGTTCTATCCTTTGTCCTGTTTTGTTTCTTGTTTACATTAATGATTTTGCAGACAACCTTACATATAAAGTAGCTCTTTTTGCTAATGACTCAACTTTATAATCCTGTCTTGATAAAATCTTCTCTTATTGATTACTTAGAGCAAGCAGCCAATCTTGAACTTGATCTCACTTCTATAACAGATTGGGGCTCACATTGACTTGCAAATTTTAATCGCAACAAAACTCATTTTCTGCAAACAACTATTGCAGTACTTTTGACATCCTATACTAATGAATAACAACTCTCTCACTGAGTCCTCTTCTTTACGTCATCTTGGATTATCGTTTACTAACCTTTCATAGAAACCATATATTCAATTGATTGCTAAATTGGCATCTGCTAAGGTTGCTTCTCTTTATCGTGCTCACCATTTTCTTACTCCTAATTCAATTTTCTACCTCTACAAATCTCTTATATGTCCCTGAATGAACTACTGTTATCATATTTGAGCTTGAGATTTGAGGTCTTTCTCTTCTAGACAAGGTCCAAAAACGCATTGTAAATGTAGTTGGACCCGCTCTATTTGCTAAACTCATTTCCATTGTCGTTAAGTTGCATCTCTTTCTCTTTTCTACAAATACTATCATTGTCGCTGCTCAAAGGAACTATCATTGCTAATCTTTTAAATCGTTGGGCAATAAAGCGTTTACTGCTGCTTGCAAAAATACATTTTCTCATTCATCTCAATTTGGAAAAAAAATTATTTTGCTCTTCACAATTTCTTACTAGTTTTAGTTTATGGTAATGTCTTCTCATGATATATTTGATTTTTGATTTTCGACAAGTTAACAAGTTCGAGTTGAAGCTTGATTTTAAATTGCTTGATGAGTTCTGCTCTTTTGCGGCATTCTTCAAGTGTTGTTAGACCTAGTCGTTTGAGTTGACCTTCATAGGACAAGTTGATATCGTTTTTTAATGTGAGTTAAATACAAACATAAAATTAACTTGTGTTTTTAAATACATTTCCAGGCTCAGAAAGAATCAATTTTCGACTAATTCTAAAACAAAGTTTTTAAAACAGCATTTGCATTGCTAATAATAATCAGTAGTCAGCGATATTTTTATTGTTAGTAACCTTTATGGCCAAAGTTACACAACTCAAAGCTACGGTTTTACGATATGAAGATGAAGCTCTAGTAGAAAACTTACCTCTCATAACTTTTGAAACAAATAAAGAATTAATTCCAACTTTCAATTTAAGAGATCTAGAAACAAGTTAACTTTATTATAAAAGTTTATTGCTTGTACTACCTACTGAACCCAATAAAATCGAAAAATGCTCCTCTGGTTTTCTAAGTAACCCTGACAACTGTTTTTTTTTTTTTTTTTTGTAGTAACTAAATAATTGGTTAGAATGAGGTTACTATTATGGGTTGTGTGTGTGTGTGTTTGCACGTGTGTGAGCGTGTACAGGGGTGCGCAGGTTATCGCAGAAAAAAATGAAAACAAAAAATTCGCGGCAAAAAATATGATATACAGTGAAAAACATTTTTGGCGGGAAAATGCAACACAGTTCAACAAGTTAATCCTTAAAAAATGCCGTTTTTCACTAATTTAGTTGTAAAAAATGGCACGATTTGACAGCACGCAAAATGAAAATGCAAGAAAACTTGTTTTTGATCTATGGAAACGTGGTGTGAAAAAAGTTGAAATGTGCAAAACCGTGAAGGGACAGCTTCATAATTCCAACGTCTACAGACTCTTAAAAGACTTAGAAACTGGAAAAAATTACAAAAGAAAAAAAACAGGCCCAAATCGTTATGTGAGAACTAAAGAACTTCGAAATTCGATCGACTGCAAAGTACGACGAAACCCAAACAGGTCAATTTCATCCTTAGCTAGAGAAGCAGGTGTGTCTCGAAGGACTATGCAACGTGTTGTCCACGATGATCTGGGTATGAAGAGCCTTGTCAAGTCAAAAAGACAACTTCTGAGTGAGGCAACTAGAGCCAAAAGACGCAAAAGATCAAAAGAGTTACTAAATTGGTTCAAAGACCACAAAGATGTCCCTATCGTTTACAGTGATGAAAAAATTTTCACAGTTGAACCAGAACCCAACAGATACAATGACAGAGTTCTTGGTAAGTCCAGAAGAACAGTTTCTTTGGAACTGAGGACTATTCCAATGAGACAGCACCCTGTGGGTGTCATGGTTTGGGCAGGTGTGTGCTCTGATGGGTCAAAAACTCCCCTTGTTTTTGTTCCTGAAAGTGTAAAAGTCAACCAGGTGACCTATGTCGACTTCATCAAAGCTAACCTCATTCCTTGGGCTAAAAAGAAGTTTGGGGACGATCCATGGGCCTTTATGCAGGATAGTGCGTCAGCACACAGTGCAAAGAAAACTGTCAGCTTCTTGAAAGAAAATGTTCCGCACCTTTGGACCCCAGATATGCGGCCCCCTTCAAGCCCAGACATTAATCCTGTGGATTTTGCTATATGGAGTGTCATGGAGACCAAGAAGGCAGCCAAAACATATCCAAATTTGGCAGCCCTCCGAAACGAATTGAAAAAGATCTGGAAGAATCTTAGTCCGGACATGGTGCGACGATGCTGTGAGTCAGTTCCAGAGCATTTGAAGAGTGTCATTGATGCCAAAGGAGGCTACTTTGAAATTCATTAGTGTTTTTGAGTAAAAATATATGTGATTTGGTATTGTGAAAAGTTTTACTTTGAAAATAAAAGCCATTTTTGAGATATAAATATTTTTATTTTTCTGCGATAACTGCGTACCCCTGTATGCGTGTGGTATTTTAAATTGCTCCTCGAGGTCCATACGCACTTATGACAGAGCACTGCAAAAAAGCATTTATACAGGAGTTTCACGCCTCTTTCCTGACCTATGCTGCTTATGTGACAAAAGCCGGCATCAAAACTCGAACATTCTGGTTCTGATTCAAAACTTTAAATAATATGAATTACTCACAGAAAAAGTTTATAAGGTGAAAGTTATAATTCCTGCCACTAATAAAACTTTTAAACTCTCTTACGGGGTTGCCGTGTTATGGGGGTTGCCATGGTATTAGCAGGTGTTATATGGTGTTTTGTTATAAATATGTCACTATTACTTTTTCATTTACTTATGCTCATTAAAATACTATTTTTTTAATTTTTTTATGTTAATTTTTAGTTAATTATGTTTATCTTATAACTTTTTTAAGGAAAATGTTATTTGTCTTGATAGATAGGACAGATTTGAAAGAGTAAGAACAGAACGGCAGCTGAAAAATTGAGTGAAGAATGTAAGAAGAAGGATAAATAGGTTTTTGCATTTGTTAAAATAATGATAAAAAAATCTTCAAGAAAACAGGCCTTGATAAATTATCGCATCACACTGATACTAACTTTATAAAGAACTAAAAGACTAGTCACTTATATGACCTTGTCATACAAAGACATAAAGCGAGAAAATAAAGAAAAGAGACATTTTAAAATGCTAAACAGTAATAGTAAAATGTCAAAATTTATGCAAGTAAAGCAATTTATCCTAAAACAGTACCTTTTAATTATACTTTCAGATCTCGTACGTTTAGTAAATCTCGGTCTCTGAAATCCGGTCTTTTTTCAATGTCGGAATCTCGGTGTCGGAATACCAGAAAAATAAATGTGAAAAATGATAAAACAGAGATTACTGAAAAAATATTGAAAACCTTCAAAATTAGCTCTTTCTTTTTAAATGAGAGTGGCACAATATTTTTGAATAAATGAGAGTCTACAGAATAAATTGTCTCACGAGGAACTATTTTTCACGTATTTCTCATACAAAAAAAAAAAAAAAAAGTTATTATATAATATATAAAATAAGTTTATATATATATATATATATATATATATATATATATATATATATATATATATATATATATATATATATATATATATATATATATATATATATATATATATATATATATATATATATATATATATATATATATATTGTATAATATATAAAATAATTTAAACAAAATAATAATAAACGTACTGTAATAAACTAAAAAGTAAGTATAACAATTTTAATATTTGACATTTGGCATAGCAATTGCAACTTGTATGATTTTTAAAGTTTCAATATTCAATATTCAAATATTGAAATGGAAAAAAATGCAAAAGGAACTTTTTTGAAATGGCAAAAGTATTGTCTAGTTTTTAAAAATAATATGTTTCACGTTGAATGCACCTTGTGTCCTGGTGCTATGGATAATTTCATCAAACGAATAAACTACAAAACGAAAATAAGTTCACATTAAAGATATGTATAACACAAAGTTCCAATAATATCACCATGTTTCTACTGCTTCGTAGAAAAATCTACGTAACTTCAATCACGCTCAAAAATGATTGAACTGTTTAAAGTAAAATTTTCATTGACTGACAAAATTGTTGCTAAGCTAGCATCAGAACTTGGAGTTTATTTTTGATTTTTTATACCAAATGATCAGACCAGAGCGAAGGATTATATAGAACAATCAGATACAGAGAGTGACATGTCAGCATACACATCTCAGTTTTTGTAGCGCACCAAACGTGCTTAGTTTAGCAACAAAGAAGAAAAAGATAAAGACAAAAATAATGCTGACGCAAATTCCGATGAAGCAAATTCTTTTTGAGCAAGTCAAAAAGCTAAATAAAACTATTCAATCTCTTGAAATCAAAATTCAAATTGCAAGTTCTTAATGTCAGAACTCAATGGAATAGTGCATTGAAAATGTCAAAGATTTTCAATGATATAATACCAGCTATCAAAAAAACATTTCGACATGAATGGCCTGATTAGGGATTGCCCATAAAGTACGTACGCTCGGAGAGGAAGAGGGGGTCTGGAAATGGCGTTTCTGAGATAAGAGGGCAGTTAGTCAATTATAAAAGTATGGAAACACTAAATTAAAAAAAATATCATAAAATGATGGGTTGGAAGGTTAAAGGCGTAGGTACTTTTAGGGAGGTAGAGAGTAATCAAAAAAGCGTATAGTTGATTCAAATCAGAAACGTTATGCAAATTAGGACATGCTTTGAAATTAATCAAGCTAACGTCGATTTGATTCGGGCAAAAGATTTTGATTTCTAGCAACCATTGTCCTAAGAGGTAGCACCTTAGTCAGAATGAAGGCTGCAACTTTGAATGACTTTGAATTCTTTCGAAAAGTTATTTCAAGAAAAAACATTCATTTAATAAGTATGGAAAATTTATAATTCATTGTTAACAGTAAAATATCATAAAATAGAAACTTTTATTAAAGTTTTGCGTTATCTTTATAGTTTTTGACTTTTTGAAAAAATCTCGGTTATTATAAAATCTCTTCTAGGAAAAATTGTATCGTATATACCGAGAAATAAAATGAAAAAAAACACACAATATTCTGAAAGTACACCTTTTAAGGTTCAAGTTATAGAAGATATCACAAAATATAAAAAATTAAAAATAAATAGCATTGCATTTTTGGAAAAGAAACTGTTGGATATTCTAGCTATTGATCGTGGTACTGAACAACCTGAATATGATGCTTTACTTAAAATAGTGAAGTACAAGATCCAATGTACAGACATGTAGCAAACTTCAAACAAATGTTTGGAGTTAGCTACATGTCTGGAAGTTAGCCAATAATGAGGCTTAGCAAAATATTGCGGTAATTGGAGGTTGGGAACGAAAAAACACTATGACTTCATCCCGAAAAAAGCGTTAGGGGCAACAAGTAGATAAATTTTTTTTTGTACTTCTCAATAAGACTTATATTCATCGATAAATTTTAAGTTTCATAGTATTATCTCCCAGCGTTCAAAAAATATGACAATATAAAATTTAAACCCCCTCAATATGAGAAATAATACTATGAAATTTAAAATTTATCGATGAATATAAGTCTAATTGAAAATAGTACAAACAAAATTATTAAATTGTTACCCCTCACGTTTGGGGTGGGGGTATGAAGTCAAAAAGCTTTTTCGTTCCAGCCTCAATAACCGAGTTTTTTTGCACAGCCTCATTATTTGACATAAGTATAAACATACAAATGTTTGGAATTTGCTCCAAGTTTGAAATCTCAATCACCAAAAAATCCTGGATCTGTCACTGAATGGTAGTATCATTTCCAAGGCTTTTAGAGACTGTAAAAAAAAAGCATCAATTAAAAAAAAAAAAAGAATAATGAATTTAGTGAAAAAAAAAAAAAATTATTTAGAAGAAACCATTAATTTGCGGCACGTAAAAAATTTATAAAATCTAAAGCAGCAAGTTTACCAAATTTAACTAGCATAAAGTTATATGAGAGATGCTAATAATTAACTAACATAAAACTAAGGAAAAGATACTTAAAAAAAATTGCTATCCAGATACGTAAATTTGGGCTGTTGACAGTTTTCCGCACCTGTTAACATATTAGCTCTTGAATCATACTGTATTTAGATTTGCCTTTTTTACAAATATTCTTTTTTATGGAACAAAGCTAGTAATAAACATTCTAAAACTAAAATTATTGGTATCTTGATCTGGCGCCATATATTCGGTAAAAGTAAGAATTTGATCTGGCGCCAAATGTATGAGTAAAAGTAAAAAGGTTTTAAAACAAATACTTTTTTTTAAGTATTTTTATATTTTTTTATTTTTGTCATCCGTTTTATTTACAATAAGATAGATCAGTAAATTTACATTTTGAAGTTACAAATAAATTTATATAAGCAATATAAATAAGAAATCTAATCACATGCTGTTATTTACATATTAAACATAATTACATTCTAATACTACAAAATCTATAAAATAAATAATCTATTTTATAACAGAGGCATTATAATTATATTTACATACTCGCATGTACAGAAACGTTGAGAAATGAAAAAGTATATACATAAAAACATTTGTTTATTGACAAATATTTATAGACTCCATTCGTATTCATATCAGCTATTTATATATTTATCCACAAAACATACTACTGTACAAACTAAACACTGTATGATATTATTAATTTGCACCAAAAAAAAAAAATTATTTTTTTAAAAAAGGGGGAATAAACGGTAGATGCCCGTCGTATTTTTTATTTCGATCTTTACGATTTGAATCTAAAAACAATGACAACAAATTATTTACTCAACATTTTTAAAGCAAAATTTTTAAATTTTGATTTCAAAACTTTTTAAATTATATAAGTAAAGATTTAAAATGGTAGTGGTTAAACATTATATAAACATTATATGTAATCAAATATTACAATATTAGGTACAAAATATAATATTGTAACACCAAACACCAGTATAGTTTTGAAAATATAGAAATATTTTATCATGATCATCATCACCATAATAAAGATGATAATGATATCACGTCAGTAGTATAAAGAACACAAAAATGTTTTTAATATCGGTTGAAATCAATACATTACGGCCGGATATACTCAGCAATTAATTGTGAAATATTTAACGAATTAATTCTTAATTTTTTTTATAAAGTTCTATAAGTTATTATGTAATACATGTATTTAATTGTATTGGTGTTTTACTAATACTATCAGTTTATCAGTTCAAAATGAGTTAACAACTGAATAATCGGAAAATGGTTTTAGAAATTTTCCCTCCAAATCCAACCTACATTCAAAAGTCGCTAAATCTTCAGTAGGAGACACATTGAAGAGATACAAAAAGACTCAAACTATCGAAAGAAGAGGCAGTGGAAAGATGAAAGGTTATGTTGATTATTTCGGTCAATTACAAGAAATCCATACCAATCCCAAAGAGATCTCCCCAAAAAGTTTGAATGCAGTCATTTCCTTTTCAGAAAAACACTAAGAAAAAATTTGAAGGCTTACACCAAGAAATAACTCTGAAGCGATTAATTGATGGAGAATTAAAAGCAACTCGCCGCTCAAGGAAGCTTTTTAACTTTTTAACAAAGAAAATTTATGCATTATTGAGGAAAACGAAACATACTGCAAAAAAGATTTCTTACAGTTGCCTGGCAATCAATAATACTATCATTATAAATATACCTATATCAGCAACAAATTTAAATAAATTTAGACTGAAAAATGTCTTCGTGTGGCAAGTGATTTACTTTTGTGGCCTTTAGAGTGCTCCATTCATCACTCGAAAGACTTTGACTTCTGATTTGTACATCACTGAATGTCTTCAGAAATATCTTCTGCCATTTATTAACAAACACAGCACATTTTTATAGCCGGATTCGGCAACGATCTACTATTCCAAGAAGACATTGAAGTGGTACAACCAAAATACCATCGAAATTGTTCCAAAAGATGTGAATCCTCCAAACTGCTTTGAGCAGCATAGTATTGAAAGTTACTGGGCAATCGTAAAAGGAATCTTGCTGAAAAGCAACAAATATGCGAAAGATGAAAAAAAAATTAAGCAAAAATGGATAGCAACATCGTGAAAGGTCACTGAAAACAAAATTCAGGCCATGATGACACTCTCAAAAAAAATTGATTACTTTTTTAGCCCACTCTGAAATCTGAAAACCGAATAAAAACTTTAAATGATACAATAAATTTCATTATTAAAAAAATTTAGAAGCATTTTGTTAAATAACTCTTGAGTTATTGCTAAGTATATACGGCCGTAAAGTACTGAGCCCAACTAATAATATATAATATAATTAGACTTCATTTTTTTTAATCTAAAAAACCTAACTTTAGTTATGCATTCAATATTCAATAGATTTATGATTCAATGGCTGTTAATAATAGTTTAATATTCAATAGAACACACACCATGTTTGGTATTGTTGGTAAATCTTTTTAAATAAGTTTCCAAAGTTTAATTATACATTAATTTGATTATTTATTAGATATGGGTAATAATAAACAATAAAACTGGAGCTAGACATTTAGGTTAAACCAGAGCTTATCTTTAAAAAGAGGGGCTACTATTTAATCTTGTTGTAGCTTTTAAAAGAATTGAATTAAGTGTTGGTATAAGGCTAGAATCGAATGCAGAAATTTTTGCAGCAAATTTATCTAGTTCTATCATGCTTTTTGCTGCAAATGAAGACAAATCTTTCTGGCTTGACAGGCTTTTTGCAGAGAATAAAGGAAAATTTATCTGGTTTGACACATGCTTTTTGCAGCAAATAAAGGAAAATTTATTTGGCTTAAAACATGCTTTTTGCAGCAAATAAAGAAAAATTTATCCGGCTTGACACTTGCTTTGTGCAGCAATAAAAAAAATAGTGATTAGTACTCTATGCTTTTTTTTTTTTTTTTTCTATGCTTTTCATGATTTTCACAAAAAATAAAAATGAGCAGCTGATTTTTAAACTCAAAATATGCTCATGTTGCACTACTTTTATTTATATATTTAGTTAAAATGCCTTCTTGAAATTTTATGTGAAAGTGTTATGTGAAATTTTTCATATTATCTTGAAGAAAAAGTTAGAAGCAAAGTACAAAAAAAAAAAAATCATGACTTTAATAGAAAAAGTGCTTTAAAGAATTACCATCATTAACAATCTAGCCTATGATAACATTCACATAAATTACCTTTATCATTAGAAGCTTGAGGTAAATCTACAAGATGTGGAAGATGATTATTTGGGAGACTATTTTGAAATTGTGTAACTTTTGATGCGCGTGTTTCCCTTGTCTAAATAAAAAATTTTAATATATAACAAAAAGAGGTGCAGATAATATTACTTGAGTAACGAAGGTATATATAACCCCTAAATATATCATGTATCATGTAAAAATATTTTTTTAAATAAGGATAAGGTACCATAAATATATAAATAATATATTTATATATAATATATAATATAATAAATAATATAAATAATAATATAAAAATAAAAAAATAAGGATAAGGTACCATTAAATAAGGATAAGATACCATAAACAGATGTTTTCATTTAATTACAAAAACTAATTTATGATGTTAACATTAAAAAAAAAAAGAACTGTTTGAAAACTTGTTTATAACTTATTTAAAAATAACAAACAAATAAGTTGAGCTGTTAAAAAATAATAATAATAAAATTTTTTTTTTATAATAATAACACCTAATAAATAATACCTTGTATGACGTTCTATCTGCTTTTTGAGATTTATTAATTGCCAAAAAATTCTAAAAAATGTTTTTAAAATAAAGGAAAAAATTTCAAGTTTGACACAGAAAAATACTTTCTGTTTGCTAACAATTAGAAACCTGCATATCAGCTTCAAAGTGTCCTTTAAATGCTATGTCAAAGTAATCGTGCTCAAGTAGTTCAGCACATGATAAACGATGAAACGGCTCCATAACAAGGCATCCCTATAGTGGACAATTATAAAAAAGTAAAAATAAATTTTAACCACAACAATTATATTTAACATATCAGCAATGTAATTTTAAAATAATTTGTCTCTAGCACAAAGAATTTATAATAAAATTTGATTAAAAAAATCAATACCTTTAAAAAACTCAATGCCTGACGTGAGGTTCCCAAAAATCTGTGTTCCAAGGGATTCTAATTAAAATTGAAAGGTATACTTTAAATAAAAATGAAAATTAAGACAAAATATTTAAAAGAAAAATTAAAACAGATACAATATAAATTTTAATTAAAAATTTACCATTCTATCACAATCAGGTATTGTAATTCCTCTAAAAAATTGGTTATTTTTAAATATGTCTACATGACGAGGTATTAAATCCCCTAAAAAAAAAGTTAAAACCATTTTTAAATGCAAATACATACCGAAACAAAGTATTAAATCTCCTTAAAAAAATTACAATTACTCTAAATAACTTTTTGGATTTTTTTGCATGAACTTTTTCGAACAATGTTCAAAAAAGTGTATATATATATATATATATATATATATATATATATATATATATATATATATATATATATATATATATATATATATATATATATATATATATATATATATATATATATATATATACACACACTTTTATCAATAGTCATAAATATATATATATATATATATATATATATATATATATATATATATATATATATATATATATATATATATATATATATATATATATATATATATAATTGATTTTTTGACGAGATTAAATAACAAATAACTACATAACTTTTACTACTAAAAGTTTCATGCATTTAGCAATCATCAGGTAAAAATACATTATTTTTTCGTTAAAAAATATACTATATAATAAAATTGTGACGTTCAAAAACAATTATAAAATGTTACTATTTGCAAGCGTTGGTTTTGTTTTTCAATATTTAGGCTCGTGGTTGTCAAGCAAGAACTTGTTTTCATGACACTTTATTATTATTTCTGTTTTTTTATTTAATAGTTCTTGCGTACCTTTGTATGATATTATGCAAAGTTTTTCATGAAGGCAAAGCAAGCATTTTTTTGTTATGTTGCTGTAGGCGGGGACTTGTTTAATTATTGAGCAAGTTAATTTGGGTGTTATTTTTAAGTTTTCTTTTACCTGCCATATATACTTTGAAAAGGTGATTGAAATTTCCCTCATATTTTTTTTTTAAATGAAACAATTAATAAAACTAAAACTGAGCTAAAACTGATTTAAAAAATTTTACTTTAGGTAAATAAGTTTAAGCATTTATATTTTCTAAAGAAAGTTTATATGGAACTCATAGAACTTTTCAGAAATATAATAGGAAAATATGTTTTAAAACACCAATAAATTACCTAAAGTTTTTTTTATAAGATATAATTGATCAACATCTGACTTGCCGGGCCATAAAGGCTGACCAGATAGAAGCTCTGCAAAAACACATCCTATAGCCCAAACATCAACAGGAGTACCATACTGAGTGTCACCAACTAGTAGTTCAGGTGCACGATACCATCTAGTAGCAACATAGTCTGTATATTCATCTGATGGACCAGCTGCAATTCAAAAAGTATACAAATATCAATTCTTTTGTATTGCTAAATATATAATTAAATTAAAAAAAAAAACTTTAGTAAAGAGTAACTTACTGAGTAAACGAGCAAATCCAAAATCGCACAACTTAACTATTTTTTCTTTGGTAATTAAGATATTCTCGGGTTTGACATCCCGATGGATACACTAAAAATTATAACATTTAATAATGCTTTTTTAACAAAAAATAAAACTTCCTTTCAATATAATTGCATCACATTTAAACATTTTCAACTTAATGAAAAATTACATTAGGCTTTGATGGAAAATTAAACTTATTTACTTTGTGCTGATGGCAGAACGCAACCGCTTTTAGAACTTGATAAATAATTCTCTTGATTATATTCTCTGCAACTCTAAATAATTAATAAATAAAATTAAAACAATCAAAAACAAAAAATGGGTCAAAATAAAATTGAGAAATACTTGTTGATTTATTCAATAAAATATTTAATAAAATTTATTAAATACTTCTTGACTTACTTAATTTTTATAAATATTAAATTAAAAAGAACATAAAAATTAAACAATTAAAATAGTTAAAAATACTAAACAGAATCACAAAACAAAAATACTCTAATATTTTCTAAAACATTCTTTAATAGTTTCTAAAACATTCAACTAATATTAAACATATGGCTCATACTTTATATTAATTTTATATAATCATGTGCTACTTTAAAACACTTACTTTAATTGAAAGGTCAACAGAAATTTATTTTATCCACATATTAAGTCACATATTTTGTTTAATTTGTTTTACTTAATTATTATTATTTGACATCTTTCAAATTGATTTAACTCAATTTGGAATATTATAACTCAATTTTGGAAAAAGTGATATCTCAAGGAATTTCTGCAAAAAAGCTTTTTCAGTTTGAATTTGTGTTGTTGCAAAATATTTCAAGTCATCTAAAAGATCAATGATGTTATTTTGAAAAACTAATAAAAATTATAAAATTATTAAAATTGAAATTTACTTCGAAATAACTGTTATTATTAAAGACGAAAAAAAATGTCTAAAAACAGCTATTAATTGTATGTTTAAATTAATAGCCAATACTTGTTGGTATGTACATTATTTAATTTGTAATGATATCCTATTTTAATTTTATTCAAAGCAAAGTTTACAGTATTAAATCAATTTGAGAGATGTCAAGTAAAATTCCATAGTTATTAATAATAATTGTAATAAGATACACCCCTAACAACTGGTGTAAACAGTTTTGAAGTACATTAACAGTAGATAATGCACTGTTACAGCTCAGTTAGTTTTTGTTTTTTTGTTTTAATAAATAGTTTCAGCAAATATTTAGATTTATCTAGTTTGTTTTCAAAATTATTTATTGAATCAGCTTCTATTATTTCAGATGGTAAGTTGTTTCATGCATTTATAACTCAATTTTGGAAAAAGTGATATCTCAAGGTATTTCTGCAAAAAATCTTTTTCAGTTTGAATTTGTGTTGTTTTAAATATTTTCCTTCTTTTGATGTATTGGTAATGGTCTGTAACCCAATTTATTTTTTCATGGCCATGTTGAACTTTGTAATGTTAAATTAGAACACCTTGTAGTCTACACTATTCTATTGTTGTTAATTGCATGTTTAACCTGTCTTTATTAGATAGATTTTAAATTGTAGGTGCTAGTTTGGTTGCTCTTCTTTGATCTTTTTGATCTTTGATCTTTTGTCTTTTGTCTTTTTTGATCTTTGATCTTTTGTCTTGTTGTAGGTATGGAGACTTTGCCTGGACTGCATACTCAAGATGTGGGTGTATGAACATTATATAAAGTTTTTTTAATAAATGTTTACTAAATATTTTAAAATTAAAACATTAAAATTTTTTACTTGTCTAAATGTTTAAAAATACTTTTTATGATACCTAACATTCTATTTGCTTTGCTAGTTACAAAGCTAATTACTGAAGCTAGTTACTGAGCTAGTTACTGAACCTAGTTACTAAAGCTAGTTACAGAATCAACTTGAAAGTGTCATTTTAGATATAAATGAACCACAATACCCAAGTCACGTTCAGCTTCTGTGTTACATAATGCATTATTGTAATTGTAATCAATATCAGTCATTATAAATGTAGTATTTTTTTTTTTTTTTTTATGCCATAATATTTATTTTTTTCCTATATGCATAACTTTGCATTTTTTATAATTAAATTTTGTGAGCCAAATAGAAGACAATGACATAAAATTATTTATATAAAAAACATAACTAAGCAACATTGATAAAATTCACCACTATAATTACAATTATAAAACATAATGTACGGCTAACAAAAATAACAATTTTTTTTACCTTTATATTTTACTTAATGATGGACTTTATCATTATTGCAATTTATAACTCATGGAATTTTTAGTTTGAGCGCATTAGTTTTGGAACCCATCCCAGCAACCCTCGGAATTAGGGTCGGCATTTAGCAATGCCAACCAAAAAGTGTTTAAGGTCGGCAAAAAATTGCCAACCTCGTTTCTATATTTTATGGTAAACCCTTTGTGTCAAATATTTTTGCCGAACTCTAATCGATTGACTTCATTTTTCCTAATTCCGAGGGTTGCCATACCAGTCAAAAAGTATGGGATGCCATACCAGTCAAAAAGTATGGGATGGGATGGGATGTTTGGGTATGGCACTGATATTGATGTTATGTGTCAAGGTTATACACAGATGCTATGGGTTAGTTATTACAAACAAGTTTCTTAAAGTAATATTAGATATTAAAGTTTTTTTTCATTATTCAAACATAAAAACCAATTTATTAATTTAACATTTTATTAATTTAACGTGTTATTTTATTTAGCTTTTATTTAAATGTAGCTTATTGTCAACTTTAAAAGATATGTAAAAAGACAGTAAAATAATTAAAAAAAAACTGTAGAAGTGTTTAAGAAACAACTTTAGCTACAGTTGAAATGGTTAGTAAACAATCGATTAAACTATTTGTCTGAGATGCAGGAAGTGTGGATTGATATAATTTAAAGAAAAATTATTTTGTAAATAATTCTATATTTATACTGTCAATAAACTACATAATTTAAATGAAAACCAAATCAACATTATCTATATAAAAATTATTTTAAAGTATATTGGAAAAATCAAATAACAAAAATTTAACAAACCCATTTGGATGCGCTTCAAGTTCATTGAGAACAGTAAAATCACAAAATTCGAAAACAAGATGAAGCTTCCTTTTTCGTCTGAACACTTCTAACAAATTTACTAAGTTTGGATGTTTCAATTGCTAAAATAAAACAGTTGAAAAAAATTATACATTGCCAAGTTATTTATCAATTGAACAAATAACTTTTCACAAAATTTTAAAAATCACTTTTTAACTTTATAAACCCTATACAAAATTTGCTTAGAGTTGCTGCTTGTTTTTACAAGTGTTTTGTTGACTACACAAAAGTCATTAAAATATCAAACACATATTATATGTGCTTAATATTATATTCCCTCTTTGAGGTAATAATTATCAAGCACATAAGTCCCTCTTTGAGGTAATAATTATCAAGCACATAAGTCCCTCTTTGAGGTAATAATTATCAAGCACATAAGTCCCTCTTTGAGGGAATAATTATCAAGCACATAAGTCCCTCTTTGAGGGAATAATTATCAAGCACATAAGTCCCTCTTTGAGGGAAATATGGTTTCCGGTTCCACCCCTGTTATTTTATCAAGTATCAGCAATGAACTAAGAAAAAAAGTTTTCATAAACTAATGGCAAAATACACAGAACATTAAACATTAATTTTAATTTTTATTTGATGTCAGGGTAAAAGCTTTTGATGGCAAATATATTGAAATCTTTACCTCATTTTAAATGTCAGTCTTACAATGCTTTAAGATCTTTTATTGGATTGTATGGACAATGTTCAAATGCAGTGTTCAAGAATCAGAGTTTCAAGAATGATCTTCTTAAATCTACCATCTATAATTTTAGTTGATTATCTGGAGTATAGTTGATTATCTACATTTAATGTTATACTTTAATAGAAGTTTTTTCCAAACTTACTGTAATCTGGATAATTTGGATACATGCTGATATCAACCACCCTCCAAGCATGAACTCTCAAACTAGGATTGTCAACCCATTCTCAAAATGAATGTAATTAGAAAAAATCTATTACTTGTTATAAAGAGCATTAATTAAATCAGGTTTTCTTTGCAAACTCGGATACTGTTTAAATAAAAAATGTATCTTATCTAAAATCACAAACAGAATAAAATCTGGTACAACTAAACTTTTTAGTACTTATGTTGTAGCAAAAAAATGCAGTCATTTTTTCTCAATAGCTTATCATAATACACATAATATTTAAAACAAATATAATTCAATACCAATAAAACTATCATTTCTAACCGAAATCTTAAGTGGCGAGCTATTTAGCAAAGCTGCATTAATATATATTAGAGCTATCCCTGAATGCTTTAAATTTTTGCTTATATAGTGCTGCTTTAGAGTAAGTGTAGTTTGTAGCTTTTCACACCTTCTTTTAACCATTTTTGCTCTTTAACTAGTAACTCCCAACCTAAATAGTAGCCATCTACCTTGTTGAAAGTAAATTTGCTTTTTAAAAAATTGTTCAGAAAAAAAATTGGGGTTTCTCATTTCTTTTTATGTTTATTTCATAAAAAAAATGCACCTGATATCTTTATTTAATTTACTATTGGGAGGTTAAAGGCAATTACCAAATAAAAATTCAAATAAAAAAATTAAATAATTCCAAGCTAACTGTTACTAATAGTTAATCACCTCTTCGTTGTGAGCTTTAGCTTTGGTGCACACTGGCATGAAAATACTTTTTAACTTGTTTAAACAACAACAAAAACAATAAGCATATTTTTTACTGTTTTGCTTTGTAACTGTTAAAACAATTCATAAAATATTGTATAAAAAATATAGGTTATAAAAGTACTGGAGGAAAATAAAATAACGCTAATGTAAGGTAAAATTTGATAGATTTGATGTAACCAAATTGACAATTCCATAGCTCAGCTGAAGTAGGGAAATAATCTTATATATCATTGTAATATAATTGCCTTTACAGTACATTAAAAAATAACACTGCAGAAGACTCATTGGAATCTTTATCTTGTTGGGATCATTATCTCGTTGTTGACACTGGGATCATCATAAGTTTTTATTTAATTTAAAAATTTAAAATTTACTATATATTTAAATTTGCCACTTAAATTTACTTGCCTCGCTCTTATGACATAAATGAATCTTACTCTGTCCCTTAAATATCATTGTTGCTTCTTTAAATCTGTTCTAAATTAGCATATTGTAAAGAAAGTTCTTTTAACTAACATTATATTTGACCAAAATTGGTGAGCCAAGCAAGTTGCTTATCTAAAACCTATCGAGCCATCAATTTAAATGTTTTTTTTTACTTATTGCTGACAACAAGCTTTAAATATCATGTTTAATGCAATTTTAAAACACTAAATAAAAATTTATTTAATGATAAAATTACATATTTTAAAATGTCTGAATGCAATGACCTTTTTTTTATATTTGTTTGCCAGCCGACAACACCTAATTTCCCAATATCGTAAAAACGCTGTATAAGATTTTCATCTGACACCCTGATAAGCTATTTCATCTTGGTTTGAGTGTATCATTTTATCGTATACAAGTGATACAACTGAAACCTAATAAATTAAAAGGTTTCAAAAAGTGTAATAAAGTGTGTAACTAATATAACTGTGATCAAACTATGTGTCTTCTGAAACTGTGAAAATAACTGTTGTATTGTTGCAGTAACCAATAATATTGACCACAACCTCACAGCAACAACATTTCATGGAGCGTTTCATGGAACAGCTATTTTATTAGCTCATCAGACTAAAAATTTCAGTTCTAGAATTCCACAAAAAGTTCTGTTGATTTTTATGGTAGTAAGAAAATAAAACTTCCTTTGGAATCATACTCAGGTATTACCCCAGATTAACAAAAAAAAAAAAAATAATAATAATAAACCAGCTAATTTGATCAATAGTGGTCCATTCACAGGTAGTGGGAACATGAACTCAATAGAGAACATTTGTGACTTGAAACTGTTAGACAGGTTCATGATGCCAATGGACCAGATGACAATATGCAGTCAGTGGAATAGTTTTTATAGTCTGCATAGCATGCTAATAACATGAGCAATCCAGAACTAAATTTTCCAATAGTTTTATTATTGCCAATAATCCAGGATTCTCCCAATAGTGCTGCAATAATCTGACACTAAATGGATGCAACAAAAAGCTATATCCATCATTTTAATTCTGAACAGATCTCTGTTATCACATTTAATCATCCTTGTATGCTATTGCTGAAAATTTTAATTAAAACTGGCCTGATCTGTATGGGAAAATAAATTTGTTGATGGGTGGCCTGCACATAGAAACATTTGTCTACAAGTGCTTGGTATCTTATTAAAGTAGTAGCTAGGTTGAGGTTGCAACTGGAATTGCAACATTAGGCATGGCTAAAGCTCTTATATGCATCCCATGTAAAACATTGTCAATATGTACATAAAACTTCTGTTTTTGCACATCATATATTACACTATCAGAAATAAAATTTATACTGCAGATTGGTGGAGGATGTGTTTAACCTTTGTCTTTAACTAGCAGAGACATAAAGCAAATGATTCATTCACAGTTTGCTTATTGGAGTTCAATAAAGGACATCTAGCTCATTCTTTATCAGGTCTTTGCGTAGTTCTTATTTTGATCTATAGCTAGATAGTTTGACAAAAATAGTACCATAGTTTTTTTACTTGATCAATCTCATTATGCCAAATGTTTATCAGTGTACATTTAAGACATAATGTGTTTTTTGCAAAATAGTCATCAACTTTAGCTGCATTCATGGCGAGCAGGTTTACAGTAGAAAAAAATGTAAAAATATTTTCAGCAATGACAATTGTTTATTATGCATGTTGTAAATTGTACTGCATCCAATATTATATCAATTCATGACTAGGCCAAATTCAGTTAAAATAATTTTTTCAAGATCATTTTGTTAACAGAACTGTAAGTGTCCATCCTCCCCAAAAATGTCACAACTTGTCCCCATTTACAAATTCGCGATTGCAATCTTATCTAACAATAGCAAATGCTTGAAAACAAAGCAACAAACTAGTGGTAAATATTTTTTGAAAACTTTAGAAACATGTTTTGAGCATGAAAATTAGTCATAACCCATCAGTTTTCTGAGTTTTAGCTCTTTGTTTCGGAGCTAGATCTGATTTGAAATGTTCTGCCCTCAAGCTCTGATGCCTGTGAAAATCTTAAATAGTGTTCTAATGATACTCACCTCATTTTAAAGCATATCATGCTGCAAATGCTGGTTTCAAGATTGCAAATACGCACAGTAGATACAGATATTTTCTTCATTGCAATATGAAAAAAGCATAGAAGCAAGTGGTACCACTACACCACTACCACATAATGTGTTAGTGGTATAGTGGTAGAGCGTTTGCTTATAAAATGAGAAGTTACAAGTTTGATCTCCACCATGTCCTTGGTATCTCTGTTATAGTGCTGTGCTCAACTTGTTTCTGCACAGCAACCTTGTTTGTAACCACAATAAAGTAGCCTCCTCGACTGTAGTAGCCCTTGTAGTTATCTTTTAACCTTGTAGTTGACCTTGGGAAGGTAAATAATATCAAAAAAAAGTCAATATATACTTGACATGATTTACCTTTCCTGAGATTTAAGTGAAGATCAGTTAAACTGTAATCTAATATAGCGGTAACTGCCATCTTGAATTTGAGCAAGTTCCAGCTATGCAACCATATCTCAAAATATTAAGCATAACTTTTTGACTAGTTGGTAAAACTTTTATGTTTTTATTCACTTGTGCATACTTTCATTCATTTTTAATATTAATCTGCGCAATATATATATATTTTTTTTTTTTTTTTTTTTGTTACTCACCTCCTTAAGGCTGAGAAGACCACTACAGACGAGGAGGCTACTATACTATTATTCAATATTTATGAATTGAGACTACTATTAGTCAATATTTATGAATTGAGAACTTGAAAATTCATAATTATTGACATTAACTCATAAATATTAACAATAAGCAATTTTACAATTTATAAAAAACAATAATTTTAATAATTAACAATTTTACCTTTAACATTCTAATTTCTCTCATTGCAATTTTTCTAATTATTGGATCATCTTCACTTTCAACAAACTTTTTTATAGCAACAACAGTTCCATTTTCACGATTTTTGCATTTAAATACAACCCCATATGATCCTTCACCAATTTTACTAATCTTTTCATATTTTTCCATTATATTGTGCCTCTGTGAGTTTCTATTGGATTCATGCATTTGGTTAAAGGATCAAATCTACTATTTATTTAATATTTCCATAATATAATATGTTCCGTATGGCGATAAACAAATTTTATGCAAAAGAACTCTTTTTAAATACTTATCTGAAATCAAAAAGTAATTAAAGTGTAACCATTTTCAATTAGTAAAATGCATAAAAACACTTTATAAGATTTTAATGTGGAGATGATTTTGTACAAATGAGCCTATTTGCTAGTTCTGTGTTAGACAATAAAAGAGGTATAAAAAATAGTAATAAATAGTTACTGTTACATAGCAATAAACAGAGCTAGTGAATGACTAACTCCTAACTCCTTAAAAACAATGCCTAGTTTAATTAACTTATGTGACCTAAAATCTTATATTCTAGTAATTTTTAAATTGATTTTACAAAAAAAAGAAACAAGAGAAAATCAACATATAAGGAATTAAAAAACTAAAATCAAAACAACTTAAAATAATTAAATAAAAGCATAAGATAAATTATAAATAAATGCTATCAGTAAATATATGTATATATATATATATATATATTTATATATATATATATATATATATATATATATATATATATATATATATATATTTATATTATACATTATATATATATTATATACATTATATATATTATATATAAATATTATATATATATATTATATATTACATATATATATTATATATTACATATATATATTACATATATATTATATATTACATATATATATATATATATATATATATATATATATATATATATATATATATATATAATATATATATATATATATATATATATATATATATTATATATATTATATATATTACATATATATATATATATGTATATATATACATATATATATATATATATATATATATATATATATATATATATATATATATATATATATATATACATACATATATATATATATATATATATATATATATATATATATATATATATATATAAATATATATATGCATGTATGTGAGTGTGTGTGTGTGTGCGTGTGTGTGTGTACACATTAAAACACATACATATATAAATAATATATTAAAAACAGAAGAAAAGGAACTTTCATATTTTATAATAACAAAACAATATACACTATAATAGTTATAATAATAACATTAATAATAGAAATAATAACAAAAAATTATGAAAAAACATGAATAATATAATAGTAAATAATAAAAGATTACTATTTTTAGTAGCAATAGTAAAAATAGTAAGATAGTAGTGAAAACGATATTAAAAAAATCGTATGGTAGTAGTAGTAAAAGCAGTATTATAGCGCAAAGGTAAGTAATAGTGAATTCTTTTTCTCAGTTTGTTGTTAAATGAAAACATTACACTATTCAAACAAAATAAATGATAAAAAAAGAGCTTTTGACATTATTTCTTAATTTACTTCTTTTATAGATAAATTGATAGTTTAACGTCATTGCATTAGCAAGACACAAACTGTTACAATTCTAAAAATAAAAATACCTTACACAGTGTATAACTGCTAATACATTGTATTCAAAAAATTTAAAAATCGGAGTCATTTTTTAACTAGATTTAGAAGTGGTATAGGGGAGCTAAGTTTTCTGTACAATATATCTTAAGATTAAAGCTCGTCGCATTCCTGGTAGTAGTAATTTCAATTTGTTTTTTCGAACTTTAATTTGACATACACGTTTAAAGTTTTCAAGCCCTACATCTCACATCTACACCATTAAAAATTTGATTTTGCATACCAATACTTAGCTAGAATTATTTTTTAATATTTTCTTATATTATGCTCTCAAACATCTTGAACGATTCGAAATCCTATATCGATTAGTACATTTACAACCATTTCTATGGAAACCATATTGAGAATTTTGAATATTTTCTTTTTCTTTTTGCGCGAACGTTTGTGAATTGAGAATAAGTGACGGCGATTCATACTAAGTACCGCTACAATATAAATTATTCAATAAATTAAATTAAAGTGTTATAAATTTATTTTTTCCCTACTTGTTTACAATCTTTATTACAGTATATAGCTCATTAAAGAAAAACGAGAAGAAGAAAAAAAAAAAGTAAAGTAAAGTAAAGCTGTACATACAATAAAACAACAAGCAACAAATTTGGAATATCAAGAACGCGTAAACACAAAAAAGATTAAATCTTTTCGGTGACATGATCATCAAAATTTGATGATCATGTCACCGAGAAACGCTGAAAAAAAACTCTTTATAAACGTGTTTACTAATCGTTTTAATAAAAACTCATAAAAATAAAAAGTAAACGACAATTGAGATGCAATAATAATGATTAAAGACAAAGTATAACTTTTACATTAACATATAAGTTTACTGAAGGAGTGGATTATAAAAAACTTTAGGTTCTATGCCATTAAATATTTGAAATTTTTAAATTTTGATTTTTACATCATTTTATCCAAAATTTGGATAAAATGTTGTAAAAAAAAGTGATGTACTAACAATTTTTTTTAAATCTTCAGTTATATTTTGACTATATTTTTATTTCTAAATGAAAAGCTAAGAATGTTTTTCCTTATATCAAAGACTCTAATAACAAAGTTTTCAAAAATAAAATGCATTTACCTTAACCTTTCTAACCTACTGTCTAATTGTGTGTCTGAAAATGCTACTACTGTACACTGGGTCAGAGGTGTCACAAAAACTCAGATAAAAGGCGTCCTTTGTGGTAGTCGCCTAATATTATATTGTAAACTAAAAATCTATACAAATAAAAAGAATAAGTTATTTCATGGTTATTACTTTATAATATGTTATTAAGTTTTTAGTTAAAAATAAAATATTTATACTTTAACTATTTTTTTTAATTTAAATTATTTCTATATAAGTCTTTTATGTAAATCTTGCATTGTTGAATTAAAAATATATATTTTGTTTACGTTGGGTACATTTTAAACATAACATTTGAAACCACTAAATAATAGTTTATACACATTTTAATTTGAGATATTTTTAACGTCTCATTTCTAATGTAACCTTTTTTAAAGATGGGTATGATTTCTAGGAAAAGTTTGATCTAGATTTTGAATACTTTTACTGAAAATATCTTAAATATTCATATTGTGTATGTATTTAATTATTTGCAGATTCTTGCAGACAAGATTGTAATTGAATCGGTGAATGTTAAAAGGGCGGAAGTCCAATAATGTAAACATTCAGTAACCTTAAAAAAACGCCCATAATAAATTTTTGTTAATAGTTCAACAACTTCAAAACTTTTATTTTGAAAGCGAAGAACATTAAACTCTTTAAGAAGATTTAACCTTTAAGTGAAGAACATTAAACCTTTAACAAAAAATTTACTACGCTGGAAAATGCTGTTTTTTTAGTTCCCGAAAGTTTACATAGTTGGGCTTCCGCCCTTTTAACATTCACCGATTCCATTTATGTTTAATAATTTCTAGTTTTGCATAATTTTTTTTTTGGCTTTTATTTATTTTTCTTAATTTATTTTTTTTTTCTTACTGATTGGATACATCACAACACTCTTCTTTGTGTAGAGTCCAAAAACAGTTTTTTAACGTTTTGATTTCCTAAAGTAATGTAAAGTATATTTCTATTGAAAAATAATTCTCAGAAATAAAAGCATTTTGTTACAATTCAGACTGCTTTTTACAGAATAGTTAGCCAACTTTTAAACTTAACCTAATTTTATGCTGTTTTTTAGACAAAACGATATAAAACTAGTATTTTCTTATTTTCTAACTAACGCTATATAATATTGCTATATAATCTTACTGCTGCTGAGTTATACATTTTTTTGACATTTATGAAAAGAGTTTTTGAAGCAAACATAAATGCCGAAAAAATATTACTTAAAAGAACTTCAATAAAAATTTTTTGCTGTTGTTTTTAAATAAGAAAGTTATTTTTTGTCGTATTTGATCAGAGATTAAGATATTGTGCCCCGCTAAGCATATAGGCTAATGAATATCTTATTGGTGGGAAGAGAACAACTTTAACGATAAGGCCCTTTAAGTACCGCTTGAGGTGTTTCTATCTGGAAGGGGATTTTAAAGGCATGGAGCGTTTGACCTATCAAAAGCATTTGATGCGGTTGATCATCTAATTCTTTTGGAAAAAATAAAACACTACGGAGTGATAAATAAAACCTATGATTGGTTAAAAAGCTACCTCACTGAGAGAAAATAATATGTTATTAGTAAGGAATCAGGTCAACTTAATATTTTGTGTGGAGTTCCACAAGGGTCAATTCGTTGTCCATTGCTTTTCTTGATTTATGTAAATGATTTTAATAATGCATCAGCTAAGCTTAACTCAATAATGTTTGCTGACGACAAAAATCTCTTCCTATCAAACTGTAACATGAATCAACTGTATTCTGACATGAACTCTGAACTAATGAATGTAGATGAATGGTTTAAGGCAAATTAACTTACACTCAATGTAGATAAAACAAAATATACTTTATTTCATAAAAAATCACAAGATGAAAAACTTCCTTTAAAATTACCTGATTTGATTTTAAATGATGCACTAATTAGTAAAAAATTTTTTTTTTCTTTTTCTTTTTCTTTTACTTCAACTTCTCAAGGCCGAGAAGGCTACTACAGACGAGGAAGCTACTTATTTTGTGGTTATAACCCTCTCTCAACTCTATAACTCCGAAACACGAACCTTGATGAACAAGACCGCTGCGCGGAGAAACGAGTTGAGCGCGGTACTACCAGGGACGTAGTGGGGATCGAACTCGAAACCACTCGTTTAAGAAGCGAGCGCTCTACCACTACACCACTACCGCATAAATGATTCAATAAAATTCTTAGGAATTCTTATTGATGAAAATTTATCATGGCTTCCCCATATTAATTAAAATCAATCAAAAATTAGTAAAACAATTGGTCTGACGTACCGTATTTGTTCATATGTAACATCAGAAAGTCTGAAATTAGTATATTTTGGCCTAATATATTGTTTCATATACTATGCCAATATCACATGGGCTATTACTCAATCAACAAAACTTAAAAAAATATTATCTTTACAAAAACATGCATGCAGACATGTTTTTTATAAATTCACTTTTTTTTGTATGTAAACGTTTCTTTGTA